TATCAGAAAGTTATCTTTTTCAAAGGTTGGGAAAAAATAAAGGTAGGAAAAACAATTAGTTATTTTCATTGTATTCCCCCTTGGCATGGTATAGGGGACTTCAAAAGACTCATGAAACATGGACTTAAAAAACAGCTTTTGATACAAGAAAAGAATGTGAAATCTATGAACAATAGCTTTTTCATAAGATATACATGCCATCGATTTTTGAAGATCCCTGGTTTGCCACTAGGAAATGCTTTCTACAATATGCTTTCAGATAATTATCACTTGTCAGAATCACTGGACATAACAAAATACAATTTAAGAAGGAACCATGCGAGGATAAGATGAATTTCAACCAAACTTGGCAATGTAGTCGCTGATTTAGTGATGATGGACACCAGTAGCCTTCTACAGTTGCCATGATAACATCTCTGAGAAGGATTGACAGACCTGAAATTCAGCCAACTGATTCTCGTTCCTATTCCTCCTACCAAACTGGACTACACTATGAACTGAGCAACAAGAAGAAGTTAGAACAGTGAATAGTCCAGACTGGCTGATGAGCTCAGAAGGATTTTATGAGATGCCTAGGCTTTGTGATTTGCAGGCCAGGGTACAGCAGCAAGGCCCCCTGCCCTGTCCAAGAGGCCCTCTGGTAAGAGAACTCAGGCCCCACAAAGGCTTCTGTGGAGAGGGCTACACTGCTCTTGACTTTGTCATATGCCATGGATTTAGGGCTTGGAATCTCTCATTTGAACTTTTTTATGCCATCCCTAATGTGTGCCAGAAAAAAAAAGAGCAGCTGCCAAAAAGCAGACATTTTCCTATCTCTAAAAATAAAATGCTGGCAATGCTGTAGGCCCCTGTGCCAAGACCTGGTCCTTCCCAGCATAAACAATAGGTAGCCAAATGGATCAGGGGCCAACACTGAGCCCTGAACAGGCCAAAGGCTAGCCTGAAATGCCTGGGTCAGGGCATGCACAGCTCCTGAATTAACTGCTGGAGGATACCTGTTGGCCCAGCCAGAGGCCAGGTATGGCTGTGACAGAGGAAGGACTCAGGTTACACTTGAGACCTTGACCCAGAAAAAAGCCTACAGCCCCCACCAGGTCTTAAGCATACAGATCTAAATGCCTGTGAGATCTCTCACAGAGAAAACTCCCTGAGAAGGAAGGAGTTTCATAAGCATCCTTCTTTATTCTTCACCAATGCTGATCTTGTCACCTGCTAAACCTTTCCTGCCCAGCTGAGCATGTCACCTGCTAGACTAAAGCCCAAGACAACCTCCTATGCATAGGAATGTTGCAATACAGTCAGTAACCCTATCTAATTGCCTCACAATTCACTCACTGCTTCTACAGTTCAAGTCTCTGTTCCTTATCATGAGGGGTCACATCTTCTCGAGCCCATCTGCTTAGCGTTTTGCTGGTTTGGGACATTAGGGGACGAAAAGAGGTTTGGGAAGAAGGGGACCTAAATATAGCAAATATTTGCCAGTATAATCACTCCATAAACACACTGCAGTGGAAAGGAGTGTAGGGCCGGCCCAGCTGACAGATGTCATTCACCCAAATGTCACATCATAAACAAACCTGAATGAGCCTATTCTCTCTCTCACAGAACCAGGGTGACGCCTGTTCACACTATAAATATTTATGAAGTCATCGTCCCAAAAAGACTTTCTTTTTGCAGGTAGGTAGATGCTAGTGACAAAGTTAAGCAGGACTTTTTTTTCTGCGATGATAGAATGGTCACTATAGCTTTTCAATGGGCATCCTCCCAAGAAAAGGAAAAGATGGAACAGAGAAGAAAAAGAACAACCCAGCCTCAGCCATCTGCATGTGGCTGCCACACATGGGGATCACATTTACGCCACTCAGGGACCCTTCTCGTGGGAGAAGTGCCAACTTCCTCTGGGGTGGCAGGAACCAGGAGCAGCACCATCCGTCCTGTTGGCTAAGTAATGACAGCAGCCCAAGCAGGTCTTTGTCACCCCTCCCACCTCCTCTGCCAGGGGAGACATTCTCCTTAGTCTTCAGTCCTCAGGGCCTGTCTCTTAGTAACAGAAAAAGAAATGCACACCCTCCCTCCCACCCCCCTTACCCTGCTCATGTGAGAAGAATACTCAGATTATGGGGATGTGTGCTCCGGTATCTTTCTGGGGTTTATGCAAGTTCCACTCTCTTTGCCTATGGCCACTCCTCCTGATTGCATTAGGAAAAGCACCCCCCTGAACACCCCATGTTGTTGAATAGATAGACCCCCTCTGGGTCTTGGGAGCTCCCCCATACTCCCCTGGGCCAATCCCCTCACTGCCAGCAGCCCTGCCACTTGGAACTCCCAAGCCATTGTCTGCACTACAATACGTGCTAATTTTCATGTCACTTTGCAGCTTACATGCTATTCATCTCCTAAACGCACCAACGCCCTTGCCCAAGTCCAGGCCTGTTTCTCTCCCAAGCCACGGCCTCCTGGCTGGGCTCTGCTCCCCCTCCTCCAAACCTAAGGGTGGCCCCTTGCTTCAGAAGACTCAACCAGCCTCCCGAAAGTCTGGTTCCACGGAGAACAAGAGACTCTGGCTTTCTGAGATGAGTCACTGGAGGCCTTGACCATGCCTATCTGGGGAGGCCAAGGCAGCCATGTATGGTGTGTGCTCTCTGCCACCCACCTCTCCATGTCAGTTACAGCGCTCTGCCAGGACAGCCTGAGTCATAAAACTCGGCACATTCCTCAGGCGTTGGATAGCCTTTCCTTGTTATTACTCTGCCTTTGTTTTATGCAGCACCTGGTTTCATTTTTAAAAAACCCAAATGAAACCACACGGCTGGCGTGGGGGGTGAGGAGATTGAAAGGCCAGGAAAAGGGAAGAAAAAGAGAAAAACTGAGTCTGGGGAAGGCAGAGAAGGCAGCAGCTCCCCAGCAAGATAAGCTGCAAAGCAGGGCAGACACTGAGCTGCAGCACAGAGACCTGATCTGGGTGAACTGAGTTGGATCAAAGTCCTTGGAACTGTGTAGGAGAAAGCAGATGATGGCCGGGTCTGGGAGGATGTGTACTTTACTCACAAACCATGAAGCCTTCCCTAAGCCACCCAACTGTCTTTGGGGGCTGTGGGGGTTATTTATTTGAAAGTCACACACACACACACACACAGATCTTCTTGACGGTTCATTTCTTAGATTCCCACAACATCTGGTTCTGAACACCAGGAGCCAGGGACTCCATCTTGGTCTTCCAAGTGGGTGGCAGGGAGTCAAGGACTTGAGCCACCATCTGCTGCTTCCTGGTGTGCTCATTAGCAGGAAGCCGGATTGGAAGCAGGGGTGGGACGGTCCCAGGCACTCCAATATGGGATGTGAAAGTGGCACACGGTTGGACCATTGCACCACTGTGCCTATGCCCATTGGGTCCCGGGAGTCTCGGTAAAGCACTGATTTGTTTTTGATGAACTCCGAGAAGCATCACCTTGTAATACTCCAGGGTTCTAGGAATCTGCCTGTTCCTTCTTTCTGGGCTGGCAAACCCCAACCCATGTGTGAAAGGCTAGTACCTGCTTCCTTGCCCTTTGAAGGTCAAAGACTAGGGGGCCAAGAAAGGGAGAAGGCACAGACCTACCTGTTGCAAGGCTGCTGGTCAAACAAAATTTCTGTGGCCAATTTATTTTTGTAAGCCCATCTGCAGGGCTGTTAACATTGATTTTTAAAGAATGACAACAGAATTCTTACAAGTTGTGTGCTTTGCATTGGTCTTTTAGGAAGCAAAGAGGAAATGCATGATGACCAATACCATGAAAAGCTGCGTTTCCTTGTCCTAAAGGAAAGTGATTACAGCACAAGCCCAGGATTACTGGATCCTAGAGACCAGCTCAGAGCTCCAGCCTTCTGCCTCCCTCGGAGACGCTCTAATGAAGCTGCCAGGGCAAAAATCCTGGAGGTTTGTGAGTGGCTCCAGGGCTGCCTCTTCAATGCACGGTTTTGGCGAGCATAATGGAAACCATATGAAAAGTTCCCGGGAATCAGACCAGATGGCTCCTCGGGAATGTGTTTAGCCCAACCTGGGCTAAAGGACAAAAATACCCACTAGCAGTCAGGGGAGGGGGGTGTTGGGAAACAGAGGGGGTGGTGCGACTCTGTCCTACCCAACTCATTGCACAAGGCTGTCTTGGCAAATGGGAGTTTGTGGGAGCCGGGCGGGACTGGGGTGCAGGCAGGGGTTGGAGGCGGCCCCTTGCCCCGGTCTCCCCACCGCCGGCAGCTTCTGGAGCCCTCTACTGCCGCGCTCGGCTGCGGCGAGCCCACTGCAGCGCCCCGGGTTCCAGCCCCGCCTGTGAGGCGCCCGCCGGGGCCTCCATCCAGTGCATCGCGCGCGTTGTGGGAGGAGAAAGCGGCGGGCGGTGTGTGGAACAATCCGAACAATCTGGGGAAGGACGGGGGAGTGGAGGGGGCAGTGCAGGCAGAGGCGGGTCCTGGGAGGAGAAGGAGGGTCCTGGAAGCAGAGGAGGCAGTAGGTGGATGCGGGGGAGGAGGAGCGTCAGGCCAGAAAGGCAAGGAGGAGGCCAGGAGGCTTTCTGTGGTTGCAGGGGAGGAGGAATTTGGAGAAAGGAGGCGGATTGCAGGGGATGGAGGATCTTGGTGTTGGGAAGGAAGACCGTGGAGGGAGGAGGACCCTGGAGGCCTAGGGTGGCGGGCAAACGAAGGAGTAAGAGGAAAGTGGAGGCAGAGGAGAGAGGGCTTTTCACCAAGGGTGCCCTGGGCAAGGAGATCCTCAACTTGGATTGTCTTCTAACGTCCAGGTAGGGGATTTTCAGACGCGGGATACTGGGTCCCCACATCCTTTCTGCCCTTCTGGAGGGACAATGGGTTCCATCGTCTTACTTGTAATGTTTAATGCATATTGTCTACATGCTTCAACACTGACCAAGTGGGGAATGTGGGGCTGTGAAGACTTCCCGATCCCCGGTAGGGTTCAGGACAGGTGCGCTGCAAGGGGCATGGGTGTTCCTACCACAGGGCCCTTGTCATCCCAACTCCGGGGCCTCCAGCGTCGCGGCCTCACGGTCCATCTCAGCTGAAACGCAAGACCCGCCTTGGCCGACCAAAGCTGGAACAGTGATGGACTTCAGAGCTTTCAGAGGGGCCAGTGGTGCTGATGCTGGTGCTGGTGCTGCTAGAATCCCAGTGCTCACGAAGCTGCAAGAGACACGGCTTGCCTGTCCACAGGCACTCATGCGTCCATGGCGTGGGCATTAAATGGCTGCTCCCAAAGCAGATAGCATTCATGAGGGGCAAGTGGGATGGCACATCTGAAGTCATCCTTGACCAGTCTCTACGCTCCCTCCCTCCATTTCCCTTCATCCTAAAGGATGAGCTGCTGGTTTTCCAAATTCATAATAGTACTTCGTTCAAGAAGTTAGGGGAAATGTGTATTATGAAAACCTATATATGATTTCAGAGCTTTATCATTATTATTTTGCAACAAAACAAACACTATCTTTTAGATCCATTTTCAACCAAGTTTTAAATTATGGTGGTATATTATGAACTTCAAAGTTAGGACCTAGCAATATAAATATTTAGAGGATGATTATCAAAGGCACTAGACAGAGGCAAAAATTTTTTAAAGTGAGAATATTTTTAAACATTGGTCAAATGTTTAAGTCATTGCTTGTTAATGCATGAATGAGCATATTTTTATATATGAGCATTTTTATATATCGATGCTTTTTCTCTTTCTGCAAAATACAAATTAGTTAATATTATACTAAGACTTGGAGTAGATATTTGGTAGAGATTAAATTGTCCCGTTCCCATATCAGAGAGCGCCAATTCAAGGTCTGCTTTGTTGTTATGTTTTGCATAATACATACTTTTCTTTTTTTTATTTTAATTTTGAATTTTGAATTTTATAATACAGTTCTGTAGAGTCTGGGATTGTATTTCAGTTTCCTGCTAATGTGCATACTGGGAGTGACAGGTAATGGCTGAAGTTGGAGATGGTGGTTTCAGACTGGTGTACCCCAGCTGTTGGTATTTGGGGAGTCAACCAGCAAGAAGATTGTTGTCTTTCAAATATCATAAAAATAAAGCTATTTCAAAGTAGATATACTAAAGATGTGCTTGTCTTTAAAAAAAATCTGTTTCTTTTTTTGAACAGGACTCTAGGGCCAAGGTTTCCTGAATAATGCTATTCAGGAATAATATTAATATTGTACAGTATCCATGAGAGGGCACTTTTTGCCTGTTCTTGCATCACAAAGGCAGGGTATAACATCACGTGTCTGTCAAGGATGCCTGACTTAACCGAGAATTCCTTCAGGGAAGAAGCTGGGAAGGCACCTTACAGGGAAGGGCAACTGTCCGCTGGAGCAGCTGCAGATACCTATGACCAATGAAATCAGTTGGCACCAGCACAGCTCTGCAGCAGGAGGGATTTATTTATTTTAACAATAGTTAATGATTCTCCTGAGCTGTTCCCAGGAGGCCAACTTGCAAGAAAGAGATTTTCAGGAACTCATCTCCCCTTCCTGGAAGCAGCCACCAGAAGGGAAGCCTCCAGCTGCCCGCGCAGAACACATATCTTGCCATGGACCACACAACATCAAGTGCCCACTAATAACTCCTCCACAGCCCATCACAACCCTGCTTTCCTATGCTTGAAATGTTCCTTAGACACGATTTCAGATCCTCATGCAAAAAAACTAGAGAAAAAATCCACCATTTTTGACAAGATCACCATTCAAATCAACTAGCTGTCTGGGAACCATGGGGACCATCCAGCCCTGCTCCATTAGCTAAATTCATCAGCTTCCCAAGTGGGTGACTGTAGCTCAGCATTTCCAAAGTGCTGTGTATCTATAACAGGTGGTTCTCATGATAATACAGCTGATACTCGGATAACAATTTTTATGTGTGTTTTAATGCTCAGGTTTTTTTTTCCTACTGTGAGGGGAGTTCAAAAGTTCATGGGACAACAGAATTGAAAGATAAGTTCATTATAGTGTAAAAAATGTTTAAAGCTGGAATATCAGGGGTCTTCAGCAAGTTTATGGAAAATACATGTTATGTGTATCATACATATAGCTCAAAGTTTTCTGCAACAAAATACATCTTTTAATGGCATTTTCCCATGGCTTTTTACCTTCATAGATATAAGCAGCATACCATATTAATGATATTTCAAATATAAAAACTGAATTTGAGTCTGAGCTTTTTTCTTTTAAGTTAGCAAGAGAAATCTTAATAAATGAAATAGTATAGCTGAGATTGTTATAGCTTTTTAATAGTCAAAGTCAGTAAAGTACATGGGAGAAAAAAAAAGCAGTTTTTAATTCTTTTTCCCCACTTACCCTCCATCTGCCTCCAACAAAATGTCAAGTTATAAGAGAAATTCTGATGGACCTGACATGGTAGCCTCGTGGCTAAAAAGTCCTCTTCTTGCATGTGCCAGGATCCCATATGGGCACCAGTTCTAACCTCAGTGACCCTGCTTCCCATCCCTACTTGTGGCCTGGGAAAGCTGTTGGGGACGGCCCAAAGCCTTGAGACCCTGCACCTGCGTGGGAGACATGGAAGAGACTTCTGGCTCCTGGCTTCGGATCAGTGCAGCTCCGGCCATTGGGATCACTTGGGTTTTGAATCAATGGACAGAAGATCTTTCTCTCGGTCTCTCCTTCTCTCTGTGTATCTGACTTTTCAATAAAATAACTAAGTCTTTAAAAAGAAAGAAAGAGAAATCCTGATAAACCACTGGGCTTAGAGAATGTCTGATTGGACAGCAGATACTGGAACAGACGTATGAAGCCCCAGAAACTGGACATAAAGCACAGTCAGAATGTCCTGCCGTTTGCACAAGAACCCCCAAACTTGCTGGTATCACTCACGATTATTTGTACAGTGCACCCAAAATTCCAATTCCCATATGCCTCTTTGAGGTTTATTTCTCCCAAACTGGGGAAATCTGTGCAAGCAATTGTTCATGAGGCTTTCAGGAAGACTGTCTTATCAGAAGAGCTCCACTTTTCATCCTGTTATAAATCAGGATGTGTATTTAGACCAACTCTGATCACACACACACCCACTGCCAGGCAGAAACACCAGAAACTCACTTCCTGGCTCTTCCCAGGGATGCCCTGTTGGATGACAGGAAGAAAAAAAAAAAAAAGATTCTTACACGATTCAGGAAGCCTTCACCTTGTCTCTTGTAGTTCAGTAAGATCACATGTGCTGGCCTTGTACGTCTCATATCTAGGGTGAGCAGACAAACTGCATGTAAGTGCCAGTGGCAGGTACAGTCTGGATTCCCTGACATTCCAAAAGGTTTTGTAAATCAACAGTTCCAAGCCCAGGTGCACATTTAGTCCTCTCGGTTAAAAAGCTCAAGACGCCACTGCTCCACTTCCCACCCAGCTCCCTGCTAATGGCCTGGGAAAGCTGTGGTGGATGGCCCAAGTGCCTTATCCTCTGCATTCATTCGGGAGACATCAGAGAAGTTCCTAGCTCCTGACTTAGATCCGGCCCAGCCCTGCTGTTGCAACCTGTCAGGGAGTATCTCTCTGTCCTCTCCCTCTCTCTGTGTAACTCTGCCTTCCAAACAAATCTTTAAAAGGAGCAGCACAATCCCAAGACCCATATTGGAGTGCCCAGGTTCAATTCTCACTTCCAGTTCTGGCTCCTGACTCTAACTTCTTGCTAATACAGCCCCCTGGGAGGCAGTGGCTATGGCCCAAGTTGCTGGATCCCTGCCATGCATGTGGGAAACCTGAATTTTCTCTCTTCCCACCTTCAGTATGGCCCAGCCCTGGCTGGTTAAAGGCATTTGGGGAGTGATTAGCAGACGGAGGATCTCTTTCTCTACTTCTTGAATAAGTAAAAATTAAAAAAAATAGTAATTCCAAATTCTCTCATATACACACCACCCTAAACCCTCACCACCAGCACAATCCTCTCATACACATGTTCTGTTTCAGAGTTGCTGCTGAGTGGCACCTCTGTTGGAAAACTGTCTCCTATCACTTCTGCTTCCCACTTTCCTTGTCTTTGGAGAGATACAATGAAGCAGTATAAGGCACAGGACAGGAAGAGAGAAACAGAATGCAGCAGGCTTTAAATGGCCCTGGACTACGAAATACATGAAAATATCAAATGACAATCGTTGTTAAAATAAAGGCAAAAAGCAGGTAAGGAAGTGGTAGTTTAGAAAGAGACTTACAGATTTGTCTGTAACCTTGAGGTGCCGGGGAAATATCATCGAAGCACCAAATTTGGTGTGCCTAAGCAGAGGAAACATTCTCATCAATCCCAAAACACACACACAATCATGGAAATTTAATAACTCGTGCTTTAGTATTCATCCCTGTGCAATTCCAATGACCCTTGGACATTGCTGTAAAAATCTGCCACAGGGAGTGGGTGTTTAGTTCAACAGTTAATTTGCCCACATCCCACCTCACAGTGCCTGGGTTGAATCCTTGGTTCTGACTCTAGCTTCCTGCCAGTGTAGACCCTGGAAGGCAGCTGTGATGACTCAGTTGATTGAGTCTGTCACTCACATGTGAGACCTGATGTGCATCTCCGGTTCCTGGCTCACATCTGACCCAGCTCCAGTTGTGGCTCTTTGATGAATAAATAAACATATAAAGTTTATAAAAGTTCACAGCAATTGGGCTAGCACGGCCTAGCCGCTAAAGTCCTCACCTTGAACGCACCAGGATCCCAAATGGGCGCCTGTTCTAATCCCGGCAGCTCCACTTCCCATCCAGCTCCCTGCTTGTGAGCTGGGAAAGCAGTCAAGGACAGCCCAAAGCTTTGGGACCCTGCACCCGTGTGGGAGACCGGGAAGAAGTTCCTGGATCCTGGCTTCAGATCAGCATAGCATCGGCCGTTGCGCTCACTTGGGGAGTGAATCATCGGACAGAAGATCTTCCTCTCTGTATATCTGTCTCTCCTCCTCTCTGTATATCTGACTTTCCAATAAATAAATAAATCTTTAAAAAAAGTTCACAGCAATAACAGATAAAAATAGCAAAATGGAAAAGACAAAATCAGAGAAAATGTCAAGTAGGATTGGCAAAAGAGAACAATCTTAACTTAGATAAATCAGTAAGACAAAGCTAAACACTCTAATAAAAAAAATGGCAAAGGAAATCACACTTCATCAGTCATGGAGTCCACCTTTATGAATTCACCTAGTTGCTAGAATTTAAGAACTCTGAAGTCAATATTCATAGCACCTTTAAGGTCCTCTGCAAACATACATCATGTGGCAAACATTGGAGTCACCTGACAAGCACCTTCCCAGCTGACAGGTAAACAGGTAAAAAGTCAGATGTCCTTGGCAAAGCGTATTTAGTGCCATATTTTCTGCAACTTTCTGTTTTGTTGGTGATTATGCTATGCACGATGGCTCCAGTAAAGGGCTGAAGTCCGTGGTCCCTAATCACACACAGGTTGGAATGGCCCTTTCAGAGAAAACACTTGTATTAACTGAACATTCCTTTACAAACAAAGTATAATGCCGCTGGCTGTGCTGCGAGCTCAATAAATTAGCAACGAATGTTAAAATGTCTAACAGAAACATACATGAAAACAAAGAACCATATTGATCTGTTGGCAAAAAACATTGTGATTGGTGGCTTATAAAATCCTACCCTGGCGTTTGTATTGGAAACAGTGTGGTTCAGTATCCCTTAATTCAGAGTTCAAGATCAATGCAACATTAAGAAACATAATGATTGCAAATAATAAGAATCAGTAGGAAAGAACTATCAACAACTACTAAATGTCAGATCTCTAACCACATTAATAAAGAAATGAAATCAAAAGAATGGTTTTAAATATCCTCAACTTCCAAATTAGAAAACAGTGATGCTTTTTTAAACCCAATGTTGGAGACAATAGAGAAAAAGACAATCTCATGCTGCTCTGTGTCCTGGAAGACACTTTGGCCATATATAAAATAGATGTATTGGGGCAGGCATCTTCATAGTCATTCAGACACTGCTTGAATTGCTTCTGCCCCAAAACTCAATGCCTGGCTTCAAGTCTTGGCCTTGCTACTGCTTCTAGTTTCCTGTTGATCATGCACAGTCAAGGGGGTGGCAGACCATGACACAAGTCCTCGGGTCCTTGAGGCCCTCAGGGGAGATGTGTATTGAGCCTTCAAGCTCCTGGCTTTGGCCTGGCCCAGCCCTGGGTGATGCATGCCTTTGGACTGTGACCCAGTGTATGGAAGATTTCTCTATGGGTCTCTGTCTTTGAAATAAAATGAAAATAAGTAATTTGCAAGAATAAGTGTACTGGCTGACTCAAGAATGCTACTTCAACATATGAACCCTGAAGAGGCTATTTTACAGTTCTAAGAATCTATATTCAGATTTTATTCATCACAGCATTGTTTATGTTAGTCATAAATTTAAGAAGCCTAAATACCTGGTGACATGGGTATTTTAATGTTGTGATATAGCCCCTCAGTGAAATAATGTAGATCTATTAAAAATGATAGGACAGGTGTTGTGGTATAGCAGGTTAAGCCAATACTGGGAATGCCCACATTTCACACTGGGATGCCTTATTCAAGTTCTGAGTGTTCTGTGCTTCTAAACCATTTTCCTGACCCCTGCCTGTGTGCCTGGAAGGCAGCAAGTGAACTTGAGCTTCTGCCACCCATGTGAAAGACTATGATAGGGCTCCTCGCTCCTGGTTTCAGTCTGGCCTAGCTCTAGCTGATGTGACATTTGGTCAGAAGATGTCTCTTGGGGACTGGCATGAGGGTGCAGTGAGTTAAGCACCACTTGCTATGCCAGAAGCCTATATGACTGCTAGTCTGAATGGGGTTCTAGACTCCTGGATGTGGCTCTGGCTGTTGTAGTCATTTGAACCAGTAGACGGAAGCTATCTCTCTCTCTCTGTAACACTGCCTTTTAAATAGTCTTTTAAAATGATAACAAAGCACTATATTTACTAGCACTGAAAGATGTCTATAAAAATATCAAATAATAAAAACCTGTTGTAGAGGGTAATGCCCAGCAAGGGTTCATCAGCATACTCTGCGTGTGTGCATATATTTTTCTGCATTCGTAAGTAGACAGACATTTGTAAGGAAGTTCACTGAAACATAAATAGTGATTATCTCTGAGGGAAAGGAAGACGTTTGGATGATTTTTGCTTTTGTTTCCAAGTCTCTGTATTATTTGAAAGTTTACAATCTGCAAAAGACTGGTTTTGTTTTTCTCTGCCAATAGATTACATGTAATTACCACTACGCGTGACAAAGAGAACAAAAGTAGAATATCATCAGTTGTTGACAAATTGTATCACCTTTGTAATCTTTGTATCCCCACATAGTAAGTACTCAAAAATAGACATTTGGCAAATGAGTATTATTTAATAAATAATCCCAATTGCTTTGACTTGTTTTCAAAAAAGAATACTATGTAGAGTGCAGCCATTGAAGCTCTCTACATGTAAATGAGCACTGAGAAATGCTGGACTCACCACTCCATGCCTGACGTCAAGTGACTTTTTAAAGGGCCTGGTTATATCAGGAAACAGTCCTGAATGCAAATGAAGAGGGAAAAAAAATCAAGATTAGATCCAGTGCTAGAGTATAAAATTTCTAACACTCCCTACTACAAAAAAAAAAAAATGGGCACAATATGACTTGTTTCCCTGTTGCACTCTACAAGACAAAAGTAGGAGGTCAGACAAAGCTGTTACTAAATTTGAACTGGCAATAAACTTGGCGCTTTGGGGAGGGTATGCATTTTTAAGTCTGCAACAGTCTTTTATGATACACACTTTATGCTCTTAGACAATCAGAGGGAACCAAGGCTGTGTAGAAATTCCAAGGCTATAAATTTTTCTGAAGGTCATGAGGAGCGCTGGTCTATCTTTAATCAATTTTATTAATATATAACTTACATAAGATTGACTCAGATTAAGTGTACAGTTCAATGGTTTTGAGTAAATTTACCAAGTTATGTAATCATCACCATGACCCATCCTTTCATAAGCCAAATATATATCAAAAAAGATTCATTTTACTTGAAAGATGGAGAGAAAGAGAGAGAAAGCAAGAGATCTTCCACCTACTGGTTCAATATCCAAATGATTGTAAAAGCAAAGGTCTAACACACAGCAAAACCAGAAGCCTAGAACTCCATCCTGGTCGCCTACAGGGGTGACAGGGACCCAAGTACTTGGGCCACATTCCACTCCCTTCCCATGTACATTACCAGGAACCCGGATGGGAAACAGAGCAGCTGGGATTAAAATCAGTGCCTTGATGTGGCATGTTGGTATCCCAACTGGTGGCTTAACTCGCTGCACCACAATGCTGCCCCTGAGACCAATATTTTTTATCCTTTATACCCATTTAATACTTTCCTCCATAGCCTCCAGCAAACCACTGATGTATTTTCTTTCTCCATATTTGCCTTTACTGGACATTTCTTACCAATGAGAATCACATACTAAACGATCTTTTACATCTGAATTCTTTGACTTGATATCGTTTTTGACACATGTCTACACTAAGGGTGTTGCAGTATTTTTGTTATTTATTGTTACATAATATCCCATTTTATGAATTCCCAGATTTTGTTACCCACTGCCACTTGATAGGCCACTAGGATTGCTTTTCAGTTTTGGCTGAGATGGATAATGCTGTGACTGACACTCATGTGCAGGTCTGTGTGCATATATGTTTTCACTTCTCTTGGGTAACAAGTGAGGTGCACAGTTGCTGGATCCTGTGATCAACTCCTATTTTACGTGTAAAGAAACTGCGAAAGTATTCCTGTAAAGCAATTATCTTACTACTTCATATTCCCAGTAGCAGTGAGTGAAGGTTCTAGTGTCTCCACCCTCTTACCAGCATTTGTTATCATCTGCCCTATGCTGATAGCTGTCCTGATGGATGTGAAGGGGTATCTCATTGTTTTTAAATTGCTATCTCTTAGTTGAGTTCTCTGGCGTGCTTTAATTAAAATGGCTTTAAATGCTGAAAGGGGGTCTTGATTGGCTTAACAGGCTCTGGTCTTGAGAGACAAGATATAGGAGAGGAATAGCCATTGGTGCACAGTCATTTTTGTTTGTATGTTTGTTGTTTTTATTTTATTTTATTTGGGATTCCCCCCAAAACTCCCACCCCCGACAGATTTTCCCCATGTTGCTATAATAGTATAGTTCTTCTCATAAGGAGTCATAATTCCATCAGACGCCACACATTTTTGGTGTAACTGTATGTTAATAAGTGCTTTAAAAGGAAGGTATCCTGAGCCAAAGTCAAGGAGCTTAACTATTATTTAACTAAATTCAAGAAAATTTCACCTTTTCATAGCTCCAGTAAAAGCAAATGGATAAGCTGTTTATCCTGCATAATTAGCTGCTTGTTCCCTTCTCTGTGAATGTTTAGCCTTTCAAAGCTCCCTGTAAGACCTTCGTAAATTCCATAGGCCTGCCAGAAGCTTAACTGGATTTTTGTTAGCCTTTCATCAAGAATTACACTAAATAATTTTTAATTAGTAAACTATATGATTCTATAATATACAAATATTACAGAAAGCAATTTGGATGGATAGTGGGTGAGTGGGAAGCAGATGATAAACCATTGCATGAAGTATTTAAACACTTACACACTTGTGTTTATCTGTAGGCCAGATTTGGTCACTTTTCTAGTTAGAAATGCCTCATTTACTTCAGTGTCTTTTGGAAAGGAATGAGTAAGCTGCACATATGTTAGAATATGAGTTAGCTAAAAACTTCCCTTTGTGAATTCACAGTAGATGCAATGCAGCCCCCCAGTGCAACCTGAGCCTGGCAGGTTCAGCTCACTTTTTGAGTAAGGACATATAAAGGCATTCAATTAGCATGTATCCACCTCCTTCTACTTCTTACTCCTACAGCCATAGCCAAATTGGGTAATTTTGTCAATGAAACTATCTCAGGAATCATCAACAAGTCCTACCTTTAGATAGTAAGCTCTTACATGATGTGCCAACCTGACGGAATGCTACAGGTATTTGGTTTTTAAAAAGCAACTATCAGGAAAACAAGCATAGGCTTGCTGGTGTCGGCTCCTGCAGTCAGAGAAGCTCAAGTCAGATGTTTCCTTCTAGGTCTTCTATTGTGATCATTTAGTCCACCTACTGGGTATCTGTCATAGTACAGTGTCAGCCTTGTCTGTGATTCCGTTTTCTTTTAGCAGATTGGTGATGATTCCATCTCCCACCTACTAGTAGTCTCTGAGGTCCCTGAAATGTTTGAGTTCCTTGAAACCAAACCCCGTGAACACAAAACATGAAGTTAGAAAACAATGACAAAGTACTCTCCATCCTTGAGTAGTGTGCCTTAAATTGCATGTATGCAAAAGAAAAACTTTAGATTATACAACACTCAACCTGAAGTCCATGGACACTCTGATGCATGCATTGTAGGCTTGTATGAGGGTACTTCTAAATGTTCATGGAAAATGAAGCTATAGTGTATTTATTTTATGCAAAAAATCATTCTGAAATGCATATTATGGAATAAAAAACTATACATGGATCTCAAAATGTTGCACCGAAACAGCCTTATCTTTTAATTCCCTTTTTCCCTCTTATTTTTTGAAGTATTCTCATGTAAGTGTCTTTGGGGACAGCTTTCTGGAGAGAAGGCCCAGAGCTTTTATGAAAAGTGTCTCAAAAATATAAAGTACCACTGTGCTACCCACTGAGATAGAGCACAGAGCTCAAATCTTCTTCCTTATGGATGCTTAAGCATTAGACACTCAATGGTCTACATGCTAGATAGAAATTATTCTATCAAGTTTAAATTTCTTCAGTGTAAGAGAACATTTGTGCAACCGACACACATGCTGAAAAATTTTAGATATACTTTATGATATCTTATTCTTGGTACTTAAAGAAAGAAGTATATACTTGTATCAACACACATGAGGTTTTTCAAGAGGCTGGTTCTGTGGCATAGAAGATAAAACCACTGCCTGTGGTGCTGGCTCCAGTTAGTGGTGTCTTGGCTGCTCTACTTCTGATCCAGCTCCCTCTGTGAGGCCTGTAAAAGCAGCAGAACATGGCCCAAGTGTTTGGGTCCTTTCTGTCTGTGCAGGAGATGCAGATGAAGCTCCTGGCTTTGGCCTGGCTCAGCCATGGCCATTGCAACCATCTGAGACGTAAACCAACAGATGCAAGATCTCTCTGTTTCTCCTTCTCTGTAACTCTCAACATTCAAAAGAGTGAATATACCTCCTTTTTAAAAAAAATTGAGGTTTTCAAGGAGTCCATGAAAAATTTGTATCAACTGTACACCTCTTTCAACATTTTTTGCACCCAAATAAATTTACCTTTAACTTCATTTTCTACAAAATTTTTGAAGCACCATCTTAATGAAGACTGAGATAAGGCTGGATGTTAACAAAAGTGACCAAATATTAACAGCTGACAAATCTAACAGCATGTAGATGGATGCTGATGGTAGTGTTCTTTCAGCTTTTATATGGATTAAGCCATTTTTAGATTTGCAAATGCAAAAATAAGGTAGATTTGTAAATGCAAAAATAAGGTATTCATGTTCCTCCCCCATGGTGCTCTCATCATACTTGGTACATGGTTAAAACTAGGTACACAGAGAAGCAAGAACCCTGACCGGCTGCCTTTGGGCTCTCAGCAAGGGGAGACCTGAACCGGTGCGTCACCCTCTTCTGATCTTCCCCTGTACCTCCAGCCCGGGTTGGTTCATGGAAGCCCACTGAAATCCCAATAGTGCCCACTATTGTGCTATTGTTTATGTTCACATAATTGCAGCGCATGAACAGTGAAGCGCACGCAGTAGCAGATGGTACCGTGTGACCTTCTTAATAACAGCCTTGGCTGCCAACGTTCCCTTGTGTCCAGGCTCTGCAGGGAATTTGGAAACAGTTGCCTCACACTTGAATATTTTCTGGCAAACACATTTAACCATTTGTTAGGTAACTTCCTACTTTAAATAGACAAAGGGAAACAAAACACAATTCCCAACACCTGGAAAAGGAGCTTGGCATTTCCTCAATCCAGAGGCCCAACCTGGGACCTCTAGGGCATGCTGGCCACCACCCAGCTGAGCTGTCATTTCCACTATGGTCAGGATCTCATGTCTAGGCACGGTGCTTATTATTATACCCAGATTTACTTGTAGCCAATGTGATGTTTAAAAGGCTTTAAAAATATTTTTTTCTATTTATTTAAAAAGCAGAGTGACACACAGAAAAGGAGAAACAGAGAGAAAGAAATCTTTTATCTTCTGGTACATTTCCTAAATGGTCCCAACAGCCAGGGCTGGGGCAGACTGAAGCCAGAAATCGGAAACTCCGTGTGAGCGACAGGGACGCAAGCACTTGTGCCATCTTCCACTGCTTCCTTAGGCACATTAACAAGGAGCTGGATCAGAAGTGGAGCAGCTAGAACTTCAGCAGCACCTTGATATGGACTATTGGGATCACAGTCAACAGCTTAACTCAATTAAAATATATATATATGGAATATTGGCAGCACAATTGACAGCTTAACCCAACTTT